ATTGTGACTTCACCAGTTAGATTCTTGGACTGTGATGTTAACAGTAGACTAGCATTTTACCAGGCTGATGCAAGGGTTCGGAAATGTGTAGTCAAAACTTTTTCAAGTCTAGGGTAGTTTTGGTCATGTAATAGGCCCATTAAGGAATCAACTTCAATTCAACAATTGGTTTCTCTCCGTCTAAGTAGGGGTTAAGTATTCACTTTGGGAGATAACTGAGGCTGTTAGCACCTCCACAGGTATAATGAGGTTAAATCAGTATTCCTGATCAAAACTGTTCGTGGTATGAACTGGATGGTGCATCATTAGTGCCTTGGAAGCATAATGAGTTTCAATGGCTTTTTTTTCATTAACAATTCTTGCTCTCGAGATGCAATGCCCACCATTCTCTTCTGTTGTTTTGACTGTGATGTCCGCACACTGGAGAGTACAAGAGATTCCAGGATGACATGGTCTTAGTTTTGTCCTTTATGCACAAATCATCTGACTTGTAGCACCATCTTTAATTCAGTAAAGCCGTTTTGGAATCAACCAAGAAAATAGTCCTTTTTTTCAAAGTGCAGTTTCAAAGCACAAGGCGGCACGGTGGCTCAGTGGTTAGCACTGCTGCCTCACAGCACCAGGGACCCGGGTTCAATTCCTCCTTTGGGCGACTGTCTGTGTGGAGTTTGCACATTTCTCCCGGTGTCTGCGTGGGTTTCCTCTGGGTACTCTGGTTTCCTCTCACAGTCCAAAGATGGGCAGGTTAAGTGGATTGGCTATGTTAAATTGCCCGTAGTGTTCAGGGATGTGTAGCTTAGGTGGGTTATAGGGGGATAGGTCGGGTTGGGATGCTCCAAGGGTCGGTCTGGACTTATTGGGCTGAAGAGCCTGTTTCCACACTGTAGGGATTCTATGATTATAATCCTCCATCTATAATCAACGTGACATTCTATAAAACATACTTCTAAATAAAGCTTTATATCTTAGAATAAAGGATTCATAATTTTAATTCCAAGTAATGAATTTTCAAAATTTCAAACATGGAATTCTGCAAAGTTGTTCCACTGTCAGTCCCAATTGAAATTGCATTCTCCTGTGTTATGAACTTTGAAAATCTGGGCATAGCTCTTGAATCTCATTGTAGATTTGTTTTAGGCTGCAGCACCCAGCACTTCCCCTGAAGAACTGGGCTTATATTTGGATATCTTCTGGATGAAGCACTTTGACATACTTGAGAAAATATTAATTTTTTGTTTTATCTTTACTACATGTCAAAACTTGGTCTGATTACTTAATAGCGATACTTGAATTAAAATTTAAAGTGTAAGAATTTGGCAATTTCTGTTGGCATGTTATACTTACCATATTATACTTTATCATGTTATACTTATCTAGACAATATTCTGGGCCTTGTGTGTGGAGGGTGGCTGAAAAGCTGCCTGTTTATTTTTAGTCTCTGAATGTTCTATATACTGTACTTTCAATTTTATTGAGTCTTTCATTGATATTATAGTTATAGATTTTTCTCCCGCTATGGCACAAATGTTCTCACCTGTTTATGACTATCGTGATTTGTATTCGGAAAGCTTGAGTTTATACAGTATTTTACACAACCTCTGGACATCACTTAATACTTTACCTCCAATTAAGTACTACTTTGAAGTATAGTTGATATCATAATATAGGAAATAGAGCAACAACTTACAAGTAGCCCCCTCCTACAAACTGCAATGCAATAGTGAAAAAAAATCTGTTTGTTGAGGTGTAAATGCTGGGCTAGGACACTGGAGATAGTTCCCCTTCTTTTTGAAAGGTACCATGAGATTCTTTGCATACATCCAAACAGACAAAAATTTATTTGGTTTGAAGTCTCTTCTCAAAGGCAACATGCCCAACAGTGCAGCACTCCCTCGGTAATGCAGCACAGTGCCCACCTTGATTTTTCTGTTCCATTCCAGTGAGTCAGAGGTGAGGGTGTTGCCAGCTGAATTACAGGTGACATGAAGGACGGGATTGATTCTTCACTCTGTAGGAACTTTCACCCTGTCCTTTTTGTGCTGCTGAAATGCTGCGATAATCCAAAACTAATTCCACTTTCTTGCTGTCTCCCCATAGCTGTTAATGTTTCTCTGCCTGCAATAGTAATCTAATTTTCTGTTAGAATATGTAATACTCTGTGCCCCAACCAATTTATAATATGTGAGATGGAAATATAATCAATTGAAATGCTTCAGTTGTTAGTGTTTTGCCCTTGACCATTTATATGCTTCTCGGAATAGTGGAAACAGTATAATTAGGTTGTGTAATCATGGATTCCGTATCATCTTGCATTCATTACAAATGCAAAATTTTAGTGTTACGCACGTGAAAGTGGCATTCATTGTGAATACTTCCTGTCATTCAGGTTTTCTTTTGTGTGCTTTTTGGTTTCCAGTTCTTTTCAATTTTGTCTTTTGATATCTTTGCTTTTCCTTGGCTGTTTGCTGTCATTTCGTTATCTTCATTGTTTCTTGGGCTGTCTGCAGATTTAATTCCCTTAGTGGAAGAATGGAATGGGCTAAAACCTTTGTCCAGTTTGAATTCCAGTAGGAGCAAAAGTTGGTGTAGAGAATACAGCATTTTTTCAAAAAACAAAGAAATAAAATCCTGAACATCTTTAAGGTAATTTTAGTAGCAGTAATAGACATAAGGTCCTGCAAGGATTGTAATTGAGAATAGGCAAGCTTGACTGAAGCACTTGACCTACAATTTTGTCTTTCAATCAACCTGTCTTTCCTCAATTACAATTCCTACAGGGTTTAGAGTGGAGTCTGGTGCTCGATCACCATACTGTGACGCTCACTGAAAGATATGCCGGTGTGGGCATTGGTTGGGGACTCTTGCTTATATTCGTGCTTGTGCATTATTGCTGAATTATCATGTTTTCGTTTTTTAAAACACCTTATTAATCTTGCTTCAGTTTTAACCCTTCTGAAAGGATATGGGGACATAAACTATGGATGGAGTCAACTTGAAGCTGCAAGGTATTCAGAAAAGTCATTTTGATTTTTGATAATCCTGTGCAAGATCTTAGGTTAAATGTATGAAGCAGGCATGAAGAAAATATGATGGTAAAATGAAAATCAAGTTCGTGAAATGTAAAGATTTTCAGAAGGTGGAATTAAACTGTACAGTGATATTTTAAAATCCATTTGGTTCATTCTGATTCATTCCAAAGGAGTGCCATTGATGTGTTGGCATTTAAAGGTTAATTAAAATGGTGGTTTACAAAGTTCATTTGATAATAGACAAGACCCTGAAGCCATCCATTGCTACTGATAATTAGGCCATTGATGTACTTTGCTTGCCATCTGTACCTTTTGTTAACGTGTTGCGATTCCTATCCTAAACAACAAGTAAAAAGCTGCTACGACTAAATGTCAATATATGGGTGAAACAACTCCACAGAGGCTGGTATCCCGTCACCAAGTAACCCTTTATTTACACATGGAAAGTCATTGACACTGATCCCACTTCCTCAGAGCCAGCTCTGAGAGTGAACAGAACCTCTGACACACCTGTTTATGTCCGTCAGACATGGCTCCCTGATTGGGGCTGTTAATCTGGTCCAATTAGGGAACTCATTCAATGACATCTGCTTGGCTGACCTCATCACAGTCACTACAGTAGGAACCTTGTGCTCTAAACTAAAGTTTAACTTTTATAATGACCAACAATCTCCCTGATGTGGTAATAATTTACTCTGTCCCTTACGTGCATACTTCATTTTCCAGGAACTGTGCTTGACTCCGATTTGCCTTTTCAAAAGAATTAACCTAATGCCTGAACTGACTGACTTCTACAATAAGGATCATATTAAAGACTCCCAGTCTTGTGTAAATCCTCATGAACTTGTTCTCTTCAACCTGAATGTGAGCTTCCACTCATATCCTGTTTAATGAATGGCTGGCAGAGATTTTGTAGTGGAGTTCCCCAGGGGTGCTGTTGGGGGATGTGGGGGGCGGGGCGGTGGGGCAGTGGGGCAGTGGGGCAGTGGGGCAGTGGCCTCTGCTTTTTCTTGCTTAATAGACACTGTTTCAAAATTTGCTGACATTGCAAAGCTTGGAAGCATTGTGATCTCTGAGAAGAGCAGTGTAGAACTTCAAAAGGATGCCAGCAAATTGGTGTAATGGATGGACAGGTGGCAGATGATCATTTTCTGTGTGATCAAATGGGAACTGATTTGCTTTGTCAGGGAGTACGTGAAGGACAGTAGAAATTAAAGGCTAATAATTCTAGAGTGGATGTAGGAGCAGAGGGTCCTGGTGTCTATGTGGGGAAAAATTGCGTCAAAAGTGGCAGGACAGATTGAGAGCACATTGATGAAACTGACATCATCTTTGCCTTTAACTACAGTATAAAGTAGAAGAACAAGAAGGTTTTGCTGAACTTGTATAAGACTCCAGTTCAGCCTTAGTTGGCATATTGCATTCAATTCTGGGTGCCACACTTGAGGAAGGATATGAAAGTGTTGGAGAGGATGCAGAAGAGATTTTGAAGAGTGGTTCTAGTGATAAGAAATTCAGTTATAAAGAAAATTTATGGGGAAAAGCTTTTTTTAGAGAAGAGATGAAAGAGAAATTCTGATAGAGTGTTCAAATTTGTGGGCTCATGAAAACATTAAGAAGAAGAGACCTCAGATTCAAGGTCATTGGCAGAAGAAACAAAAACAGTATGAGAAAGCTTTTACACAGCAAATGGTTAGGGTTTCCTTGAATGCTTTTTTGGAAAGTGTGAAGGTAGGTTTCGTTGAAGCATTCAGGAGGGTGATAGATTGTATCCTTTCACGTAACAATGTGCAGGATCATGGGAAGAAGATAAGAGAATGGCACTAAGTAAAATCCTCATTCGGAGAGCTGGTATAGACAGGACAGGTTGAATGGCTTTTTCCTCTTCTGTGTGAACAAAATAAGGGACTTAAGAGTTTAATCATAATAATCATTTGGTTTTGCTAATGCCTAATTATTTTGTTGTTTTAGAGTTACTAAAGAAGTGGATGCTGCTTCCAAAGAAGCTAAAACGTTTTTGAAAAATCAGAATGAAGTTCAGGAGAAAGGTTCGCCTGCTGCACCATCTGCTTTGGAAACTGGAATCCCTACAGGTTCAGGGTAAGTACTGATTCGCACGAGTTGCACAGGGTTAGAAACTGGCCTTCCACAGATGCAAGTCGAAGCTGATCATAAATATGAACATATTCTGGAACACGTGCTGGTTGTTCATTTAGCCACTTCGGTTTTTATATATTTCGCATAGGAAACTGGAAACCTAGTAACGTATCCATATTTGTGGCCAAATTAAGCCAAAATTCATCTGAGTTTGTACTATACTACTGTATTTCCCAAAACCTTTTAGATTCAGTGCTGCCTGTGTGCTTTTGTGATGTGTCCAGCTGTCTCAAAGTGGGATGGTATGAGAGATGATCTGGAATTCAAGAATTCTAAGTTGCCTTCAGAGAGTAGAACCAATGATCAGAGCAATATTTGGACAAACACTGTACACAATTTGGTTCCAAGTCACTTAGAATTCAATCACTTTTGTTTTTCTCATGTTCACAGTGGCACAGCTTAAACAGTTGAGTTTGTTCCTTTTGAAACCCATGTTAGTGGAGAAAACAACTTTGATGTGGATAGGTCACATAAGTTATTGGTGAAGTTAAATTGGTATCAAACTCATTGAAGAGCTGATGTCCACTGTAAATAATGCTGGTAAGCATCTGAAGAAAGTATGATTGATAGATGTTTTCTGACAGAAATGTGGTGCTAGATTAGTGCTTGATTTAGTCTAAATGGTGTGTAAGAAAATTAATTTATAATCTAAGTAATTAACAAATCCTCTGTTGGATTATGAATTACTAATTAGTTTCTAGCTCTATAGGTAATTGATCTTGCTTCTATTATAGGAAAGAATTAAAAAGACCTATCATTATTCCCAAGTCAATAAAGTCACACAATCTGAATATATTTGTTGTGCAAAAATCAGTAAAAATATATGCAATGTTCTTCTTACTTAACCATTAAGACCAAACAGTATTCTTAATATTTTTGGTTTTTCTTCTTTTGTCTAGAAATTCTTATTCTGAAATCTTCACATTTAATACCTTAGATTATAAAGCACTATTTGAATTCATGAGCCATTTAGCTTCAATGAAATGGGGGAGTGACAAAATATTTTTAAAACCTGCTCTGTTGTACTTTAAGACAAACATTTTTAAGATTTGTTGGTCAATGTCATCTATATGAAAAAGAAGCCAAGAAAATGAAATGGTGTGCTCAGGGTTTTTCTCTACATGTTCTCGCTTTCTGTTAATTTTTGGGTCCATTCCATTCAAACATGTACATGTCACTGAAACATGCAAGCAATGTATATTAGGAAACTCTGCCAATTCTCAGGGATGTTTGTTTTTCAGTCACTAATTTCCAAAGATGCAGTTGGCCAATATGAATCCAGCAAGGCTCTGGGTTATTGATGCCCCTCATCTCATTATAGAGAAAATACTGTTTCTTTCTATCTCTTTCATATGTAAGAATAATTTTGCCAGGTGCTAAGAGGGCAACAGAGGAGTAATGGTGCAGTATTTCAATCTTTAGATAATACTAAAATCTAGATCCTAATTAAGAGTCAGTGCAGCCAGTTTAGATTTTGCAGGTCCTTAAAAATATCAAATTGTATCAAGCAGCAGCTCAATACAAACGCCAAGAGTTCTCTTCCTTCACTGCTACCAGTTAGTATCATTTTGAACAAATGCATGTGGATAGAAAGGAATATTTGTACAGTCATTATGCTGCTAGACTTGTAATCTAGGACTAATGATCCTGAGAAGTGTAAAAAGTCCACCAAGGCAGATAGAAAATTTAAATTTTGTAAGTTAAATAAATCTGAAAAGGAAACTGATTTTTTTGTTTACTCTCTCATGGAATGTATTGCATTTGATGCCCATCTCCAGTTGCCCCTAAAGATGATATTGAGCCACTTTCTTGAATTGTTGCAGTCTGTGTAGTGTAGGTTCACCCACTGTACTATAACAAAGTACGTTCCAGGAACCTAACCCCATGACTGTGAAGAAACGAAGATAAAGTTTCAACTCCTTGCTATCAACATCCCGGTTGCCATCAATCTGAAACTAAACCGGCTAAGCCACATAAATACTATGTCCACAAGAGCAGTTCACAGGCTAGGAATTCTGTGGTGTGTAACTCACCTCCTGTCTCCCCGTGTTTGTCACCATCTATGAGGCACAAGTTGAAAACATAATGGAATGCTCTCCACTTGCCTGGATGGGTGCAGTTCCAACAATTGGTGTTCCCTTTAATTTTCTTTCTGGGTAAGTGTGTTCTGAGGTCATTGCACTGCAGCGACCTCCAGAACTGGAAGTTAGTGTCGCAATCAGCATACTGATACTGATCGCAATACGTGGAACCTCAGAGCCACAGAATTTAAATGGACTGTTGCCAACAACACTAAGTTTGACAGCGTCTAATCTGGATTAGCCATCTATCCACCACTTTCAACATTCACTCCATTCATTATGCATATTGGCAACACCTCTACAAGATGCACTGCAGTAACCCATCCAAATCATTTTTGATAGCAAATTTCATTTCTATGAGCGCTATACCTTAGAAGAAGGACAGCAATTGCAAGAGACCATCACTACCTGCAAATTTCTCTTCAAGTCCTGCACCATCCTGACTTGGAAAGGTATCACTGTTCCGTCATGGCCACTAAGTCAAAATCCTGGAATTACCTCTGGAACAACACTGTAGATGACCCTACATCCGAAGGATTGTCGTAGTTCAAGAAGGAAGGTCACCATTTTCTGGGCAATTACAAAAGGACAGTAAATGCTGGGCTTACTATCAATCTGTCTGTCGTATTTGCTCTCTCACTCGCATGCTTGCTTGCGTGTGCTCACATTCTCGCTCACCTTCTCTCACTCCTGTTCTGCCCCTCGCCCAACCTTCCCAAATGATCATGTGCTTTAACTTTTAAAAATTCACAACCATGCATGGCTTGGAGAAGAACTTGCATGTAATGGTATTCCCATGCCTCTGCTGCCCTTTGTCTTCTTTTGAAAAATGCTTGGTGAATTGCTGCAGCTTATTTTGTAGATAGTGACAGTCGATGTGAAGCATCAGTGGGAGTGGCTGTTTCAGACTGTAAGTGAGGTGCCAGTCACGCAGGCTATGTTATCTTGATTGGTGTTTGAGCTACTTGTGTTGTTGGAACTTCAAGCTTCCAGGCAAGTGGAGAGTGTTCAATCATATGCATGACTTGTTCCTTGTATAAAGGTGGTTGTTTCTTGTAGAAAGATAGAGTCATAGAGCTGTACAGCACGGAAACAGACCCTTTGGTCCAACTCATCCATGCAGACCAGATATCTTAAATAAATCTATTTGCCAGCATTTGGTTGATATTCCTCTAAACCCTTCCTATTGATATACCTGCCCAGATGTCTTTTAAATGTTGTAATTGTACCAGCCTCCACCACCTCCTCTGGCAGCTCGTTCCATACATGCACCATCCTCTAGATGAAAAAGTTGCCCCTTAGGCCCCTTTTAAATCTTTCCCATCTTACCTTAAACTTATGCCCTGTAGTTTTGGACTCCCCCATCCTGGGGAAAAGACCTTATCTATTTACCCTATCCAAGTCCCACATGATTTTATAAACCTCTATAAGGCCACCCCTCAGCCTCCAATGCTCCAGGGAAAATAGCCCCAGCGTATTCAGCCTCTCCCTATAGCTCAAACCCTTCAACCCTGGCAACATCCTTGTAAATCTTTTCTGAACCCTTTCTAGTTTCGCAACATCCTTCCTATAGTAGGGAGACCAGAATTGCAAACAGTGTTCCAAATGTGGTTTAATCAACGTCCTGTACAGTCGCAGCATGACCTCCCAACTCCTTTACTCAATGCACTAACCAATAAAGGCAAGCATACCAAATGCCTTCTTCACTATCCTATCTACCTGCGACCCCACTTTCAAGGAATTATGAACCTGCACTCTAAGTCTGTTCGTTCAGCAACACTCTCTAGAGCGCTACCATTAAGTGTATAAGTCCTGCCCTGATTTGCCTTTCCAAAATGGTGAAGTGGTTTCGGGAGATGAATGAATTACTTGCCACAGAAGTGATGGTTTCTGACCCGTTTTTGATATTTAGATGGCTGGCTTAGTTCACCTTCTGGCAGCCCCCAGGATACTTAGTGTGGAGGATTTGATGTTGGCATTGTCATTGAATTTCAAGGGGAAATGGTTCGGACCTTTCTTTTTGGCAGTGGCCTTTGCCTGGCACTTCTATGGTGCAAATATTAGTTGCCCAAGCCTGAGTCTTGTTTAGGTCTTGTGTTTGGATACATTGCACATTCATGACTTGTCAAATACTGAAGCAATCATCAGAAAATCTTACACTTCTGATTTTATAAATAAAGCAGCTGAAAATATTTGGTCTGAAGGCACTACGCTGAGGAACCCGGGAGTGTTGTTCTGTGACTGAGGTGATTGGCGCCTAATGGCCATCTTCCTCTGTGCTAGATTTGGCTGCAGCTAGTAGAGTGTTTCCCCATTGATTTTTCCATTGATTGCTAGGACTCCTTAATGCCACAATTATGAAACACTACCTTGACTTCAAGGGTGGTCAATGTTCCTTCACTCTTGACTATCCATTTTGGCAATGTTTAATCAAGTCTGAAATGAGATGATGCATGGAGTGGTCCTGAAAGAGCCCAAACTGAGTATCAATGAACTCCTTATTACTACTTAAATGTTGCTTGATAGGACATCAACGGCTCCTTCATCTGAGTGAGATTAGACTGTTTGGGTGTTAACTAATTGGGTTGATTTGACCTGTTTTTGTGGGCAGGGTTGGGCAATTTTCTACACTGGATAGATGCCAGTGTTGTAGCTTGCGCTGGAACAACTTGATTAAGGGTGCATGGGCATGAATCTTTAGAACCACTGCTGGGATGCTGTCAGGGCCTAGAGCCTTTGCTGTACCCAGTGTCTGTAGGCTTTTTCAATTTTTGAATTGGCTAATGACAGGCATCTCAGAACCTCCAGAGGAAGCTGAGGTGGATCATCCACTCGTCACTCCTGGCTGAAAGCTTCATTGTT